GTGAATGCATTAGCGTCCAGTTCTCCTTGTCCTCCTGAGCAGGGGCAGTTCCCATAGCCTGCTGGACAGGTGTTTTTTCAGGAAAAACTGGAAAGAGCTGGTTGCTGGCAGGCCTCATTCCTGGTGCCAAGATGCAGGCATGGCACTAGAAGGTTCTCATAGTGGCCAAGAGAGCTGCTGCCCCAAGGCTCAGGAATGCTCAGAATGATTGTTCTGTGATGGCATACATGCCCATGTGACTGGGCCTAATGATGCCACATTTGGGGAGCTGCTTGGGAAGAGGGAAGGAAGAGGTCATCTTGTGGCTGATCTGGAGCCTTCAGACTGACCAGGGAAGGCTGTTCATCCTCCTGAACCACTTCTCTGGCAGTGACTACAAGCTGAGCCACCACTTAGGAATGTTGGGTACAGCCTCCACTGCCAGTCACCCTTCCTGAGTTCTTGACCCTTCCTTTTGCACCTCCCCAGAGGCTGCCCATCCCTTTCAGGTTGGCTGTGAACATCTGCCTTTATGCCAAGCCAGCAGCCCAATAAACTGAAGCCTGCACCTGGGCAGAGCAGTGGGGAAGTCCCAAAAAACTCTAGAAGGGAGGCAGAAAAGTCTCATGGGGATGGGCTCATACTTAGAGCCAAACAGACCTCAGTTGGAAGCCCTGCTGTGTCCACTTGTGGAGAAACATTGGCTCCCAGTAGATGAGTCTGTGTAGAACAGCCTGTTGGCAGTTCTGTTTGACAGTATCTCTGGAATCACCCTCCTGTAGGGGTCTGGCTATATCCCATGCAGCCATGCACTGATTGGAGTCAATCCTATGTCAGGGCACAGCCACCTGGCTGTGGCTATTACCCCTCCTCACCCAGTGACCAGCTGCAAAGCACAAATTGGGCCCCAGTGAAGTGCTGATTGGGGAGGGAGGAGCTCTGTGATGATGGTCCCTCTCAGGAAAAGGTTCCTTAATCTGGACTTGTAGGAAATGAACCACAATAGTTCATCACACACTGGGACCCCAGGGTCACATATAGTGGATTCTAGAGAAGGATAGTGTGTGATCACTGACAGGCAAATATCGGAGTAAGCTGGATTTGCACCTAAAGAATGACTTACAAAGGTGGCCCTGAGTGTGCAAAGGAATGCACATCTCAAAGGTAGATGTTGTCTTATTGTGAAACTGAGCAAAGAAAGTGTCTGACATGTGAACGTCCTGTTGACTAAGCATGCAATTGTGCCAAATCTTTTCTTTGGAATCTTCTATGTGCCAGCTGGAAAGAACAGTTGGTGAAAGTGCTGGACAAAGTCCATGGTGTGGGGAAGCAGACAACGAACAAGAGGATCTGATCAGGTGTGCTGTGGGGAAGAACAGCAGGAGACAGCAGGGAGGATGGGGCACCTGCTAGGGCTCTTCTAACAAAGCCATGTGGATAGAGACCGTGGGAAGGGAGGAATGAACCATGTAGTATGTCAGCAAATATCCTCTGCTGAGGCAGGGGCCTGGCCTGTTCAGGCAGAGCAGGAGGTGAGTGTGTTGTTGCAGCTAAAGGGTCAGGTCAGAGGCGTAGCAAGGGCTGGTGGTACAAGTCTTACAGGCTCTATTTTTCTGTGGGAGCTGGGAAGTGTTTACATTGGGGTGCCATGGACTGCCATCATCACAGGCTGCTGTTGAGCGGGGATATGGTGAGGGGAAATGAGAGTGGACTGGTCAGCAGGTTAGGGACACTTGTGGCTTGGACCAGGATGATAGCAGTGAGAATTGACTAGATTTTGGAAGTGCCTTGAGAGTAACTGAGTTTGTTAATGTGTTAGCTCAGGATTGGGAAACCTCACTATAAGGTCTTTATTTTGAACCACTGGAGAATAGAGTTACCATTTGCAAACCGGGATGAGCAGGTTGGGGGAGAGGAGAATTTTCAGAGCGCTATCCTTTTGCAGATGCTACATTTCAGAGAAGGGGCTAGGTGTGTAAGTCTGGAGCCCAGAAAAGAGATCTGGGCTGCAGACAGCATTCTGGGATGGGTGTGTTAGAGGCCAAGAGAGCAAGTAAGTAAGTTCAACTGGTACTGAAGAGTAGCAACCTGAGACTAAATCCTGGGTATTCTTATGCTTAGATGTTTGGAGGAGGAAAAGGAAACAGTAAAGTGCTGTGAGATAGCATGAAGCCAAAGAAACAGTCAAGAATGGACTCATTGGAAAGTCAAGCAGAACATGTGTTTGCAGGAAGGTGGTCAAGAATCTCACATGACATCAAAGGACAGTAAGCTGGTAATTGATAACAGGCTTTTGGATTACCCAATGTGGAGCTTCCTGATAATCTTGAAAAAGGACAGTTCTAGCAGTGTTGGTGGTAGGGCCAACATTCTGACTGGAATAGAGTCAAGAAAGGAGGTGAGACAGTGGACATAGGGAATGTAGACAACTCTTTTGAGGACTTTGTATGAGAGGCAGAGAATCTTAGCAGACATAAGGGTAGATGGATGTAATACAGAGCTTTTTGTTTTAGTTTTAGTTGTTTTTTTTTTTTTTTTTTGCTGTCTTTGGCTCTTATCAAAGATGTTATAGTCTGTCGGCATGCTGTAAACTGAAATTTTTATGGTGCAAAAGAGACGCGGAATCTGAGCAGTGCTGACGCTACTTTCCCAGCGTGACAGTAATGAGAACAGGGCTGCTACAGATTGGATAGGCAGGTGGACAAGAGGGAAAGTTTGTGGAAATTACCGCATTCCTCTCTTTTATTCTGTGAAGTCAGATGGTCAGCTGAGAGTGAGGAGGGACGGGAGAATGAAGGTTTAAAGAGACAAACATGTTACAAGCACAAAGGAGAAGGAAGAGGAAACAGGAAGGGGAAGTGTGGTGGGGTCACCTGCAGCACTGACACTCTGGTATCATGAATTTAAAGAGAACAGGGATGATTTTTTCTGAGCTCCATCAGCTTCAAAAGTACAGATGCCACATGGACTGGGTTTGACTGGAGGTGAGTCCTATGGCAATTAACAGCTACCTATGTTTGTTACAAGTCCTAGTCCACACACAGCACCTCTTGCCATCCCGCCCAATCCCCTTCCATTCACAACAATAACAGAAGGGCAAGGCTCCATTCTGCTTTATTTTTGTTTGGTCACATGAGCCAAGAAGTAAATGCAACTCCATTTGCTCTAAAGTTAGCAGAGTACCCTGTTAAAAGTTGACAGCAGTTTCTGACTCAATTAAGAATACCAGGGTTTGGATGGGGTTTTGTTGGATCATGACCTGGGGACATCAGCTCTCTCCTCAAGTGCTAAACATCCACTGTGACCAGGCCCTAGGAATAAGGCCTCAAGCAAGAGATCTGGAGCTTACCTCCTAGCCATATGTCCTAGTTGGGCTGGAGCTCTGCACATGCCAGCAAATATTCAGCCACCACCTCACTGGTGGTGCTGGCCAGTTGGTGTGGTGCTCATGAGTCCTTCAGTGAGGGAAGAATGGGCTGGCCCTAAATGGACTCTCTGCACCTTCTATACCAGGAGAAACTTGGGGGATGCCTCTGGGTCTTTGATCGATCCTAATAGGGTAGCAAGCATGGGCTAGGGCACCTCTGTAGTTTGAATGACCTATCCTTGGAGTTCAAACTGAAGCCAGGAAGAGGGCTCAGAGATGACCCTGGGGGAGGCACTGCAGAGGGGTTAGGGGATCTCCAGCAACTCCTCATGCAAGCACCAGACCACAGCCCCACCTCCCTGCCTTGCCCACTTTGCTTAATTGACTTAGTGATGGTTATTAGGGTGCAATTGGCAGAAATCCTTATTCCAGCTGGAGAGGGATTTACTTGAAGCCCAGGGAACAAGCAAGGGCAGGGAGTCCAGGTCACAAGACACCAATGTCTCCTCAGAATCTCCACAGGCAGCCACATCTCATTGCCCTGGCCAGTCTCCCCCTCTCCCATCCCCACATCCCCACCTGTCCCTAAGTCCATTTCAGAGCTGTGATTCCCTCTGTTTCTTTGTCTCCTGGCTGCCCACAGCCCTGGACGCCAGGTCCTCAGTTGTGGGCCAAGGACCAGGAGAAGTCCATGCTTTTGGAACAACAGCTCTGCCTTCTGGAAAATCAGAAAATCTGATTGCTCACAGTGTGCACCAGATGTCCATGCTGTCCAGCTGTGTGGAGGAAACACTCTCATGGAATTTCCTGACTTCCAGGACCTTATCACCATAGAACTCCAGCTCATCTTCATGGCCGTTGTGTAGTTTGTACCTCACAAGAGGATGAGGAGGCTGAGATGCTGCTCCCTCCATCCATCATCCCTGGCTGGTTCCATCCGAGCCATGCCCTGGCAGAAGAAGCCCTGTTTCTAACTTGCATAAGGACACCACGTGGGGCTCAGTAGACCTCCCCTGTAAAGAATCTACTTCTCTCAGGTCTCAGGTTCATTTGCACATTTTTAGGGAGCCCTTGCTGATGCCTAAATTAGAGATCTTTCTGTTCTGAGGTCAGAACGCCTGAAGCTCCTGCTGTATGAGAATGCCCACTTTCCTTCCATTTGGTTCCCCCGAATCAGAGAGAAAGGGAGCCCTTCTCACCATCTGATGCTGAGCCAGTGTCGGTGAGGGAATGGTGACTTGACAGTGTGCATTTGAAGAAGGACACTAGTCACTGACCTAATGAATTCCATTTTGTCATCTCAGACTCTGTTTTTGCATCTTTAACTTTTTCTCTTGAGTCCCTCCCTCCTGCAGTCACCTTGGATTCCAGGAACAACAGGACTGAGCTATAAACATCTTTATGTCAAGAGTTGAATCTACCCACCAGGCAGCAATGACTTTCTTTTTGGACCCATTTTTTTATTTTAATTTTATTTTATCGTTTTTACATTTACTTACATGTGTGTACATTATTTGGGCCACCTCCCCCTCCCAAAAGCAATGACTATCTTACTGTGACAAGGCCCTGCCTGACCAAGATCACCGACTCTGTTAGCTGTGCATACTCCAACCCCTCCTTTGTCTCCTGTTCTATAAAATCCCTGATTCCTGTTAGCACCTTAAAGATGGCCTTGGGGGGTCACTAGACCCCTTTGTCTATCTTTTCCAATGTGACTATATTTGAATAACTCTCTTGTCTCTGCCCTACACTATTCATCTCTTCAACTGGTGTATTGAGCCAGGTGGCTGAGTCTAGTCTGTTGTGATTCTCAGAGCTGGGGCTCTTGCCCTAAAACTTGAATAACAAAATCACAAGGTGAGCAGAGATAGAGAAGGACTCAGGCTCTTATCCACGCATCTTCATACCCACAGGTGCAATGACCCATGCCATCTCTTTTGGGGCTCTAACCTGTCTTCCTTTCTCCAGTGCATATGCAACTTAGCACTCACATGACATCCACTCTGTAAGTAAGGGGGTAGTATGGTCACATCTGGGCCAATAACACTCTAATCTTAGGCATTTAGGGTTTTTGTGCCAGCCTCTCCTTTCCAACGTGGTTGGCTGTAGACTAGAGAGAATGTGAGAGAAAGTGTTAAGGGCTGGTGGAATGCTCAAGTGGTAAGAGTGCCTGCCTAAGAAGTGTGAGGCCCTGAGTTCAAACCCCAGTGCTGCCCCCCCCCAAAAAAGTTAAACATAATATTGTTCCAAAAGAGTTCATGATGTATTTGTTTAAGAACCGAAATAAGAAGCAATAGCCCTTGTCTGAAGGGCTCACACCCCAATTCCCAGGTTCTGGATAGGGTGGAACAGCAGTGGGCAAGTAAATCAGCCTCTGTCTTCCAGCAAAACGTCTGTGCAGGACAGGAAACATGCAGAGTGCTATGATCCTCAGTGGTGATGGGTGTGTGTTTTACAGGAACCTCTGCTGCTTCTACCAAGACTGACAAGTACAAAATTGGGGTTTCCTTTCCCACAACTGTTGGGCAAATTCCTGGGACCTTGTGGAAGACCAACTTGCCTTTAAGAAGCAACTCCAACAAACTGCAGATCACGCCAAGAAAAGGAAGCCCCTTGCGTGCTGAGGACCAATTATTTAGCAGGGACAGGTCTGGCCCCAGAATTCTGGGCTGTGAGTAGGATGGCCTGCTACTGACTGACCTCTGTTGCTAGGCTTACACAACCCATCGGTGTTGGGTTTAAGAAAGAAAGTTCAAGTCTGGAAAATTCTATGTGGTAACACTCATTTCAAACTCTTAGAGGCTGCATTTGAATACAGATCTTTATTAGGAAAATTATAAGTGCAGATACATCGTTTTCATTGATATGACTTCAGAATAGAAATTGTTTCTCAGAGTTGTTACTTTAAAAAAAAGCACACACTGCATACAGGAAGCTGCCTTCTTCTGGGCCATTTTCACATTTTCTGGGAGATGCAATTTAAACAATACAAAATACAGTATTTATCACATTTAACACTGACTCCACAACTGCTCAGAGACTGAGAGCCCAGAGAGGTTGGGAATAACATGTTTTCTAGATGGTTTTGTCCACTTGGCAAGGTTGGTGGTCTGCTCACGGGATATGGAGACTTTTAGGGAGCAGTTCTATGGATGGGGCTCCCTTAGCAGTTCTATAGGAAAAGTCAGGGAAGCTGTGTAGATGGAACAGGTCTCCCAAATCCTCATCTAGCTGGAAGAGGGTACAATCCTGGGAGGGTGATGATCTTCCATAAGGGAAGCACCAAGTAGAAAATTCCATCTTGGAAGGGTCAAATGGGATCCAATGGAAAGCTTAGGTCTCTGATCCCACAAGAGATCACTGCAACCTTCTGATTCAGAGCCTCTGTTCAAAGCTGAACACTTTCTCAGAACATGATCTCTGGTGAACAGGTAGTCAAGCAGTGAGTTATTCTGAGCCTCCTTGTTGGTGTCTCAGGGTCTGGCAGGAGCAGAACAACAGTGCAAACAACACACGGTATACATTGGATTCCAACACACAGCATGTCTGTGAGCTCCCAGCCATCTCTCCTTCCCCATGCAAAGACTGGCAGCAGAGGACCACCCTGGAGGTTAGACAGAGCCCAAGGGAATGGGTATAGGCAGCTACAGGATCAGGAGGGGCAGCTGGTTGTCCCCTTGCATTTTGAAAGCAAAGGGGAGATTAGGGTGGGGAGACTTTTCCTTTGCAAATGGCCTATTTAAATGCCTGTTTGCTTCAGACAGGCAGTCTCCAGTTAGCAGGCTGATTAGGAGTTGATTGTTAGTGGAAGAATTGTTACACAAATCAGTCTCCCTGCAGTTTCTACCCTTATCTATTTTTCCCTTATGGAAGAGAAACAAATATGATTTCATCCTTAACTGTAGTTAAGATTTGGGGCCATGCTTATTTTTTTCTTCAAGCAAGAGATTTAATGGTCCTTGTTAATGGAGTCTGAGGGAAGATGCTTCTATATTTTCCATGAGAGAATTTTTAAATATCTTGGATTACATAGAAAATGACTGTTCCACTGGAAATTCCAATTATTTCATGTATAATGCAGGAGCACTGTAGTGACGGGTTAATTTCAAAAGAGGTTTTGGAAAACCAGTACTGTATTAATACAGATTCTTCAGGCCCTAGTTTTTCAATATAACTTGGCTGGCTTGAGAATTTTAATGTTTGTTTTAAGTTAGGGGAAAATTTTGGTGGATGAATTTATGTACAGTGCCCTGTCAACTGGTGAGTCACTAAGTTTTGTTCTCCTTTTCCACCTTCTTCATTTGAAGACTCTTAACTGGAGTCTTTAATGGAAGGAGAAAAGAATTAGTGAAACTGCCTGAAAAAAACAAAAGCATGAGAAGCCTCTAGTGTTACATTTGTAAGCAGTTTAATGTAACTCTATAGATTCCTCAGCAAAAGGGAAATGCTTCAAATGTCAGGACCTTTAACCTTTCTTAAAGGAAAGCATGCAGGACTTTCTGGAAGTACAAGACGACATGTGGCAGCACAGCTGACCAGGTGAGATGACAGCATTGCCCAATGGTGAGAAAGATAAGATTGGATTTTAATTGAGAGGGAATCTTCAGGTCAGGACTGATTATTTTATGAATTAGATTTTAAAAATTGCAATTAAATTGAAAATTGTTTTCCTGTTATTCCCAAAACAATGTTGAATTTGGTGCCAGGGAAATAAAACTGCAGTTTTAAGAAATCTTGAGGCTCAGTAGTCCTAGGAGGTCAATCCTGGGCAAACCACATTCCTTTGGGCTTTGTTTGCTGGTCCACCTTGGTTCTGTGACCAGTGGGGAAACCAAGACTGCTCACTTTGACCACAACCTTGATCAGGAAGGGGTCAAAGGGCCCGAGGGCTTCTGTGTCCTCACACTCAGCCTTTGCATTTGAGGAAGGGACAGTGCACACACCGAGACACTGGTCACAGATGAGGACAGTGGCTGTGAACAAAAACACAGGTATGGACAGCAGACAAATTTTAAACAAGACACAGATGTGCACAGTGTTTTCAGGGAACACCAAAACATTTTCCTTTCCTTCTTGGTGCCCAGTTTAAATGAAAGCTTTCATCTTGAGAGAGTCCTTTTTCAGGATCATGGAGACATTCTTGGAGACACATGACGATGGATGAGAGAGAGAATGATGAGAAGAGCATGATGGATGCAGGGGGGAGCATGGGATGAGGGTGGGTCTCACTGCCCTGGCTGCACTTGGGGAAGCCCTGTGATCCTCAGGGAGGAGGATCCCTGGCTCCCAGTTGGAAAGGGGTGAGCCTCCTGACTCAGCTCAGAGAGATACAAAACTCAGGAACCCCTAGTCATGGAAGGGTTCCATGGGAAAGATACTATAATAATGCAAATAACATAATGGTCTCAAGCTTAAGTTCCTATCTGTCACCAATGACACTGGATAATCAGACTAAATGAAAAATAAACACCATGTATTTTGTTACATAATCAAATGGTGAGAATAAGGCAAACTGTGCAAAACAGGGCCCTTGGAAATGCATTCAGCCCTGCCCAGGAGCAGGGGAAGTGGCTGCAGGCCCTTCCCTAACACTGACTTCAGACCTGGGCTCCTTCTGTAAGGTTTCCTCAGGCGACTGACCCACCTCTCACATCTTGAGCCTCCTGTTAACAAGAACAGAGGAGACACCATTAAGGCAAGTTTCCACCACATGCCTGGGACAATGTGCCTGCTCTAGCAGGCAGATGACCAGCAGAAGCCACAGGGCCCCTACTATTTACTTACGGCCATGTGTCTTCCTCCTTGTGGCCTGAGAGAGCAGGAGTATGGGGGAAGACACAGACAGGACTAAAGCAGAAGGATCTGATGAAGGCAGAAGCAAAGAAGACAGACACAAGCACAGGGCATGGCAGACACACAATGGCACAGGGAAGCATGGCACAAGCACACAACAGGGAACACTGTCTTAACCTTCCAGGGCACTAGGGTTAGGACTGGGGCCTCTCTGTCCGAGGGTGACAGGACTGAGGTTAAAGCCATACATCATCATGGCATTGACAAGAGCTCTATGGCCCCGGGCATCCCCAGGCCTTGGCACTCCCTGAGATGGAAGACTACACTTACTTCTTCCATCAACCTCCCACACTCTCCCTTGGGAATCTCTCAGCTGGCACCACTCCAGTGGCCTGGGGTAGCCAGAGGTGGCCTCACAGGTGATGCAGGAAGCACCTGTGCTGGGTAGTGCTCAGCAACCCGTACCTCTCACCTGGCTGCTGACCTGCTCCAGCTCTTCCTAGTTTCAACCCACCATGGGATCCAGATTAGGCTCTTCTGCGCTTCCATGGAGACTCTTGTCTTCAGCGGGCTGGGATTCGCCCTTGTAAGCACTTCATAAGCCTCTTATGAGACACAGAGGTCCCAGGGAGTCACATACAGATGGCAGAGCTGGCTTGTACTTCCTGATAAGTGGCTCATTCTCTTAGACCCTCCTAGACAGTTGGTTCCCCCTGGGGTTCAGTGGGGTCCTCTGGACACTGCAGAAAGTGGCTTGCCACCTCAGGGCAGCCTCAGCCTGGCCCTAGGTTGTTAGAGGGCAACAGCTCCCCCTGATGCCCCAGGAGGGACCAGTCACCCCCTCTAGGCAGAGCTGCTGCCAAGGCACAGGTCTGATCTTCTGGGATGACCCTAGCCAAAGTTCCACAGACCAGACTATAGCTGGCTTCCCCAGGAAGGATGGCAGTCCTGGGCAGCCCAGCTAACAGTCAGATGCCTAAAAATGTAAGGAGTGCAGGAAGAGGGGGAGCCTCTGTTTACCCAAAGGCTCAGTCCTGCTGTCCCTAGAGTTGACAAGGAAGGATGAGGGCTGGGATTGCTGCCCAGATAAAAGGGACAGCAGTGGGCAACACAGGGCCTTCCGTGAAGCTCACTAGCAAGACTCTTCTCCAAGAAGGAGAATGGACGGCTGTACTTGCTTCATGTTGCAATCACAGGGGAGCACACTAAGGCACTCAGGGACCTGGGAGAGTCTGACATGCAGGGCCTTTGGTGGGTTTCCTTTTCCTGACATGTGTTTGCCCCATCCTCCAACCACTTCTTCTTTCTGCCTTGATTTATTGAAATTCCTATCAGCCATCCAGGGTGCAGGGTGAATGTGCGTTTATGTGAGGTGAGGAGAAAGGTCTAGAAATTCAAGGCGTTCTTTTTCAAAGCATTACTGAAATCAGGGCCTTGCCCTCCTGTGTGGCCTACAGCTTTCTAGTCCAAACTAGACACTTGGCAAAAAAACTCAGACAAATTGGCAGGGGAAAGGAAGTCGGGTGGAGGAAAGTTCTAGAACTTAAGTGGTATTCATTGAAGACAAATATTTCCTGTGAGGAGTGAGACAGCTGTGCCCTGGGCCTGGAGCACACACTGTCATGGCTCCCAGCAGAAGGGGGAAGGGGACAAGCTAGGAGTCCCCGGACACATCTGTCCTCCAGGTGGGGACTCGTTTAAAGACTATAGGGTGAATTGCCCAAGAGGACATTCCCTGAGAAGCACTCACATCTGTTTTCTGGAAGTGCATCGTCGTTCCCTGCTGATCACCCCATACCGTCAACCAAAACCCACCCGGGCTTCAGGCAAAGTTGCTTACAAGGCCAGGGAGGAAGGCTTGAAGTCCCTTCCCAGGCAGCAGTGCCATGGAGGGCCAGGCGACAGGTACTTGGGAAAAGCTTAGGCTAAGAACAAGTCAGTTATCAACTGTCCTGAGATGGTAGCTGTGGAGAAGGCACTTAGTGAGTGCCCCTCTGCTGGCCTCGAAGGCCCCTCTGTGCACTGGCCAGGCCACACTTGGTCTCCACAGGAATGCAGACTTCATGTGAGCCCCTTGAGCTCCTGGCAGGAGGGCTCAGCTCAGGGTGATGCCCAAACCACTAGCAGGCTGGGTAGGCTGGGTAGGTCCTGAACACACAGACTCCTGGCCTGGGCCCCACCCCAGTCTCTCAACACCTTTCTTCATAACTTAGCAGACCAAGAGGGGTCTTTAAAAGCACATAAATACAGGAGCTGGTGTGGCCACCAGGGTAGGAAAGCTGTCCCCCAATGGAGTCTGAGCACCAGTCCAGGGTGCAGGGGGTGGGGGGTCCTGCCCTGGAGGAGGGGGAAGAGCGAATTTACAAAGCGCTGAGCAGAGTGCACTGTGGTCCGTCTCGAGGTGGCAGACAACTAGTTTTTCCTTTTCTGGGCAGCCTTTCTCTTCTTCTGTCGCTTCTTTTTTCCTATCTTTTCTTTTTTCCCCACTTTTTCTTCTCTGTGCCCCCTTAGATAAAATTAGTAGAACCATTAATCATGTTGAAAATACACAGGAGTTTATCTCAGTCTGCACAATATTTAATACTGGCCCGTGAGTCAGTTTAACTCTTCAGTCTCAGGCCTGGAGGCCCCTGGGCCAAGCATTGTTCATAGGTAATTCATTTAACTCATTAACATAAATGAGAAATCTCCCCACTTCAAACAGAGGTTAAACGGGCTTCCATGACCATGTTGCCGTCAACTGCTTACAGTGACTGTGCATTTGCCTGGCTCCTCTTCCCCACAAGAATCTAGCTCATGGAAGGGTGCCCAGGGCCAGGCTGGAGTTGGTCTTGTATCTCACCCACCCTGATCTCATCAGCGGGCTTCTTTCCAAAGTTGAACTCTCTTTGCCTTCTTTAAAAAAAAAAAAAAAAAGAAAAAAGAAAACCTCTGCATTTCAAATCAAATAACACTTTGGAATTTGGAGCCCTGGATTCAGATGGCTTTCAGAAGAGGAGAAAGAAGGTAGCCAGATCCCATCTTCTCCTTTCTGGATGCCAGGAAGCACCTCTGAGGGTGACTGGGATTGTTCTGGAGAGCTAGGGAGTGAGTTGGTTAGCTGAATTTTATTAGAGCAACTGGCTCATGACGGTCACATTAAAATGATTCAAGCTGAATAGTATTTAATGATTTATGGGGTGAGGCTACCTGTTCCTGTTATTAACTATGGCTTGGAGTCATGGGATTTTTACATGGGAAAATGGGAAAGCTTGGTATTACTGGGGTTGAGTCTCCGGAGATTACATGACAATGTTAGGAGAACTGAGAAGCAGGAGGAAGGGGAAGAGGAATTAGTGAATCAAATATTATTCATCAGAAAACTAACACTGTACATCCATTGGATTTAAAAAAAAAAAAAAGGAAGCAAAATTGCAGATTTCATCTGCTTGTGAGGAAAGCTGGTGCAGTGTCACTCACGCAGGGACTCTGCAGAAGGATCCACCACACCTGACCAGCAGGTGGCTCGTCTTCACCGTCTGTGTGCTCCGTCTCTAATAACTAATTCATTTTATTTCAGGTAAATAATTTCCCACATATACAGTAGGAGATTCATAGCATGAAAACAATTAGCATTTTATTGCTAGTGCATATAATGTCACATTTGATACAATTTCAGTACAAGTGAAAAAATACACTGTGGCTAACATTGAAAAGCTGTAATCACATTTATATGTCATATATATTTCTTTACAAATTGCCAGTAGTTTAAGATCATAGATAAAGGTTATCTACTGACATTACTATGGCTCCACTTCAAATATATGAATTGTTCAACTACAAATATATTCTGAAATACATTTGTTTTCTAAGAAACGTAAAAAAAAAATGTGCACAAAAATATATATAAAAATGCCTTGCAAAAAGTTACAAATACCACCAGGGCCATCTGTAGATCACATGTATACAGGGAACTTTCATCTTGCCCACATTTCTGATTGGAACCTGAACTCCCTGCTGTGGCTTCAGGAGGAGGGGATTCATGTCAAGATGTGGATTCATTCATTTGTGTTTTCACTTCTGATTTCAGAAACCTCAGAGTTTGTAGAGCTGCCATGGTATACACAGGCTTCAGAGGCAATCAGAGGAACCAACCTCCTCGAAGCAAGTGATCTGATTTGAATTTACATTTATTAAAATTTTGCAAAGACTTGTTTTTTGTGGGAAAGGCAAGGGTATGATCTCACATCCTCCAGGAGGGACTGGCTCCATTCTGGAGTATGCAAAGTGGGATCTTACAGAGGGCCCTAGGAGGGGGGAAGGCAAAGGGAGAAGAGGGAAGCAGGCTGGAGCCACTACCACTCTCCTTCCTGCCCGTGGGAGGTGGCATTGATTGTGCTACAGAAATGAGAGGCAGAAGCGAGAGGAAGCATGCTTTTGGAGGCAGGGAGAGGGCAGGAATGGCCAGGGGAGGGTCTTTGAGCACAGTTCTCAGTGATAGCTTCTACATGGAGCCCCCAGATCCAATCATCAATCTTGAAAGATGAGGTGAATGCAGTGGCCACTGCCCAGACCTGCTCTGTGTGAGTCACAAAGAGGCATCCCCACAGGGGAGGGGTGTCCTGGCTTGACCTCTTCCTCCAGCCTCAGCCTCTGGAGAAAGGACACTTTCTTGAGCTCACTGAGAAGCTATCACGTGACTGTGCCCAGAGGCCCCAGGGGAGGAGAGGAGAAGCTCCAAAACAAACCAATACAAATCTTGAAGTAATCATTGATTTAAAAAATGATAATGAGACTGATGATGATGATAATGATGATGACAAGGGAAGTGACTGGTTGGGATAATACAATTTCTTAGAAAAACCCCAGTTATAAAAGCTCCAATGTGACGGGAGAGAGCATGGATGTATACAAGCTGCAGTATCGTACCATATGCTATAGGTGTGGTGTCTATAAGCTGACAAACCTCAGACCTGACCCCTGATCAGTGCTGCCCCACAGGCTCACCTGCCTGCAGGGTCCAGGCCCTCCTCCCCCAGCCCTGCCCTTTCATCTCTCACAGGTGTTAGCCTTCCTCAGTGGGTCTACTGGAGAGTCCTTTGGGCTCTTGTGCTTACTTGTTTAGAGCTTTCTCCAGGTACTCCTGAATCCACTTTAATTTCGGGTCAATGCACACTTGTCTGTTGTTGTTCTTCAGCCTTGCGCTGCCAAGACACAAGAGGTGACAGTGTAGAGCTGAGAGGGGGAAAATGGCTCACTTAACAGTACCGTTACTGGGTGCTCTGCCTGGCAGGCTCAGTTGAAGAGCTGCTCAAGGTGTATTGGGAACTTGGGAAAACACAACCAGCAGTGTGTGGCAGGTCCCTGGCAGAGACAGGGAAGTGACAAAATCTCTATAAGGGAGACCAGGGTGAGGTCACAGCAGGGAACAACTGAGCCGCTGGCCTTTGAAGGAGAAGCAGGAGATTGGCAAGTGAATAAAGAGGAAGGAAAAACAAGAACAAATACTCCAAAGGGGTCCAAGTGCATAGGATGTAAAGGAAGAGTGAAGACAGGATGCCCAAGAAGCTTGTGGCCAGAGGTCAGGGGGCAGATGGCTGGGGACACTATTGGGAAGGTTATAGAAACTTCTGAAGACTGGCAAGTCACAGAAGCAGAATTTTATTCTGCTGGGCATTTGATAGCATGTGGAACAGACCTAAGGGTAACAAGAAGAAGTCTGCAAAATCTGGGGGGACCATCCAGTGAGGGGCAGGGTGGTGCAAGTAAAAGGTGACCCTATAGGTGGGGGAGGAGAAGTGCAGGTGCATGGCGGTAGTGTAGATGGGGGAGGGGTGGGGCAGCTGAAAGGTGATAGTATAGGTGAAGGTGATTTGCCAAAAAATAGTTTCTGGAGAGATTTTACAATTTACTGAATGTTCTATGGTATCATTTGTTTTATTAAAAGTTGACAGAACTTTCTACTTCTAACCACTCAAAGCCTCCTTATATGAAAACTCCTGGGGAGGGGTTGAACTCATGCTTCCAGATGCTTCTCCATAAATCCCTGAGTGTCAGGTAACTCAAACATCCTGCCCAGACACTGAGGAGTCTGCATGGACAACTAAGCCCTGGCACCATGGCTCAGGAACAGCCTCCTCCTCTTCAAGCAACCTGCCCATTAAATAAACAGGTGTGCAGGAAGGGTGTGGTTTGGAGCAAGGCACACGGGGTGCAAATCTCGGACAGCCATTTCTTAGTGTATCTAAGAAACTGTATCTGTCATCTTCAACTTTTAGGGCCACTGAACCAGTATAGCCTATTCTGCAAAGTAGGCCGAAGCCAGCTCGATTCATGCATCTTCAAAATCTCCTTCCTAGGAGATATTTTATTGTAAGCAAAGTAGTGAAAAAAATATTAATCTTTTAGGGCCCTAAACAATATTGTAAGCAATACACACAATTCAAAGAAGCAAAGGCTAGAAAGGGAAATGGTTGAAGTTGAGTGGGACGTTACAGCTTCATTCCAACTGCTGTGCCCTTACCCCATTTTTAGCATTAGGATATGTGAGAAAGTGAATCTTCCCCAGGGGACTCTGAGCCCTGACCACCCCAGGTGCAGACACAGGAGAGGACATGAAGTGGCCTCTCAAGCACATGGCTTTTGTCACACACCTCTCTTGCTGAACCCCAAGTGAGATCTTTGTGCCTTGTGGATGTGCGATTTGGGTTTTTCTTGTTTCCCACTTGAAATAAAAACATCAACATCCAGCAAAAACAAAAATTCCTAAGTTGTACTTGAAAATAACATGCAGTTAAGTGAACTGAAAACTGAGGTTTCACCAAAGATGATGTCAGTTGAATATGGGTCTTATGATCTTTTGCTACGTGAGAAAGGATTAATTTAGGGTATCAGAGCCCTGAAACTGGAGGACAGATGTAACTTTTAATAGCAAAGGGCTGGCTCATTTCCTGGGTTTCAGCCAAAACGTTGGCGAGCCTCCCTTTGGTGAACTCCAGTGGCAACCACCTGTGCTACACTGAAGGAGGAAGCTTCGAAAGAAGAGCCAAAAACCACTCCAATCCCAGCAGGGTCCCAAGGGCAATAGTTCTGATGTCTGATAGCCTTCTCAAAGTCCTCATGGCAATAATAGCTGTCCTTAATTATGCTCATTGTACTCCCCTCATTAGCTACAACAAACAGCACCAGGGGATGATGTTTAAGACTTACACAATCTGAAGGGCGCAGTTAGGAGCGTTGAGGATTTTGAGATGCTTGACGTTGGCTCTAGCAACATGACTCTCGAAGAATCGGCACGGGCATCTGTAGCTCAGGCTGACAGGTTTCCCTAGGGGAGGAGAGGAAGGACAACAAGGCCAGCATTACCCTGCTAGCATTGGGAATCTGACAGATAAGATGTGTGGGGGAGGGTAGATGAAGCATCAAGAGCAATGGGGTAAGGTATACATTCCAGATTCATCTCCTTCTCCTTGGGCAGCACAGGGAGTTCTGGCTGGGCTCTGGAGAGCTGGACTGTCCTGGAGTGGGGAGATTAAAATAGCAGCTACCTGTTCAAGTGTTTTATGATAAAGGTAGGAACTACCATTATCAGAGATAAGGGATTTAGTCTAAGACACCAAGATTCTCACATTTTCCTTAAAGATCTTTCTACTGAGGAAAGGAACAGAGAGGCAAGAAGAAGGCTCCAGGTTCCCTCCCCTCCCCCTCTGTGCGGGCCTCAGCTGGGAACCACCTCAGCTCCTGGAATGCAGCCCTCCCCCATCTGCAGTGTTCCCTCCCCACATTCACCTTAAGCCAGGACCTGGAAACCACAGAATTCCAGGTGAGGGCCTACCTGGGGTCCCCAGGGAGAGGCTCAGGACTCACCTCCTCCCCAGCACTTCCCCAAGGCTAGAGTCCAAGTGGCTCTCATTGCCAGAGCAAGGATGCAGTGGCCTCCTGGATCCCATTACCGTCTTTGTTTGCCAATTCACCAATTTGCAAAATGCCATAATTGACACTCATTAGTGTAAATTAGCAAGGGGCTCCTTTAAGGCTCACCCTTTAAGTATAGAATTGCAAGACGGGGGTAGGGGGTGGGGGGTGGGATTTGTGAGTTTTGTGGGGTTTTGTTTTTAAATTTTGTACTGTACATTTTACCCCAGCTCCACTTAAGATCCCAAATTATTTGAATTTGCAGCCCTTCCATCAGGGATTAAACATATGACTGACAATATTTGGTTCAGGGATTTAAATTTTTTTATTTGACCATTGTCTTTTCACTTTTTACTTTTGCCTGTTTACAGAGATCCAGAGGCCTCAGCATGTTCTCTGTGGGAGAGGCTTACGTTTCTGCAGTAGCCTGGGAGCAGGAGTGGATTTAGCCACCAAACCAGGGTAAAAGCAGACACTTCCACTGCCACCCCCAGAGGCGACGCCTTGCTGTAAGAACAAGGCCTGGCATCAAGGTGCTGAGAGACACCAGCTATTCCAGCAACAGCTCTGGTCCCTGTGGGAAAATTGGTGCTGCCTTGTAAGCAGATCACCTGGGAAAGTGACTCTGGGAATGGCACCTGCCAGCCAGGGTAACCCAGGAGCTCAAGTGCCCCACTGAGCACTGCACCTCTGGGTTTCCCTTATTTTCCTGGGGTCTGGCTGAGTTGTGGGGGGTGGGGAGAGGGGAGCAGGCAGGAAGGGAGCAGGAGAACTGGAGCCCAGTGATGAGACGGTACTAGCCCCAACCCCACAACACTGAACCTGAAAGGACATAGCACCAAGTACTATGCTATGGAGCCCCTGCTGGGGGCTGTTTCTCGCCTGAGTCCCCATAAACTGGTCCCTCTAACCAAGCATGGAGTTTAGGTCAGAAAACAGAGCCGATTTCAATCCCAAAACACAGGATCATCCCCACCCCCACACCTCTTATCTATGTCCTCCAAAGGCAGTCCCTATTCCTGCCCTCAGGTCGCCATCCCTGCTGATCAAGCAGGGAGTCTCAGCAGAGTTTGAAAGCAACAGTCCCCTGGGTGTTCTGACTGACAGAGCAGGGTTCTACCCCACCTCCAGCTTTTTGGTCAGCATCACTAATTTTTCAAACTCTTTTGGATGTGACTCCATGTACAGGCAAAAGTTCTGTCTGGCTCAGATGTCATCCTGAATTTGGAACCTTCAGCGTTTGGCACTCTAACACTGAGACAGAGCACTGGCCAGCTCCTCCAGGGCCTGAGGGCACATAGGCGTCAGGAGGTAAGGAAAAAACAAAAAACAAAAACAAAAAAACCACCTCGCATTCTGTGGATGCATACAAGGAGAACCGGACCTGCGTGGGGCACAGGGCACTGACCGGCCACTTGGCTGCCAAGAAGGCCACTCTGAGAGGAATGCAACCAACCCCTGTCAAGGGCAAGGTGATGTCTGTAGATAAGGCACCCTACCTTCTCTGTATACCCCCGCCCCCCCAGGACAGCTGCACCCAGGACTCAAGGACCTGCATTCTCATCTCCTGGCAGTTCCCTCAGAGGCACCATTCATAATAGAAGTACGCTGTGACGCTTCCATCCAAACCATTTCATTCCAAACCAGAGTGCCCATGACCTGGGGTGGGGGTGGGGATGGGGGTTATCAATAGGCAGCCTCCCAGAACTTTTCAGCAACAGAAAAAAATTCGAAATTGCCTTCAGTCTGGGTCATTAGTAGTTCTCACCAGCAATTCTTCTATGCTTTTAAAGAGTACTTCCCACCGAGTTAGCTCAGCCTCTCTGCCGGGCGCAGCCCGGAGCACACGCGCGAACCATGCCAGTGTCCTGTCATCTAGGGTTCTCGAGAACCCAGCCTAGCACTGGAGCAACCCAGCCCAGCACAGAACACCTCTGTACCAACAGCACGAAGTGCTCTTTCCACCCTTTGCAGGAAACTTCGCAGCCCAGGAAGGGCAGCGGCCCGACTGACAGGGTTTTGTTTTGTGTGTTCAGAGGCAATGGTTTATTTTGTTTTGCGGTAGCGGTGTCCTGTAACAGCGCAGCGAGTTTTCTCTTCAGTGTCGAAAAAGCAAAAAGAAAGAAAAGCCCTCTCCCAGTGAAATGGGACACCGCAGCTCTCAGTGGCCCAAGGCCCGGGTGACTGAACGCAGTTGCAGCTCCCATTCCTAGGCAGAGCGCTAGGTGGGCCCATGACAAAGGCTCCCGTCTGCAGGTGTGTTTGCGGGGCTGGGGAGGAGCGTGCATGGCCCGGTCGACCCCTAGGCCTTTCTCCAGCTACCCTGGAAAAGGTATGGAAGCCGTGGGTGGACGCGTACCCAGGTCCGCGTCGCTGCAGACCACCGAACTGTGCAAAAGCGTGGCCTGGCGGGTGGTGCAAGCCCGCCAGCTGAGCTGCACCGCCCGCCAGCGCCTGGCCGGTAGCCCCGAGTGCGTGCGGGAAGAGGACCTGCTTCTTTTGGAGAAGTCGCGCAGCTGTACCCGACCTCACAAGCAAAACCAGCACTTCGGGGCAGGCATAAGGATCGCCCAATAGCATGTGCGCACTCTGCGCGCGGGACCTCGGAGCCCATCGCCTCTGGAAAGCGAGGTCGGAGCCGCCTGCAAGCAGGCGCCCGGGGCCGCAGGCAGGACCAGCTCTCCAGCCCCGCGCGCTCCTGCCCAGATGTCCCGCAAGGACCTGGTTCCGCACGCCGCTGGAGGTCCTGCGATCGCTCTCTGCAGAGCGCAGAGTCTCAGGGCGGCGCGTGGGGCCTGGGACACCGCACCCTGAGGGTGTGCGCCCTGCAGAGTTCCCTGTGTCACTTCCCCTGTGCCAAGCGGCGCACGTTGAGCTCGCTGCGCGCATTGCGGGCAGAGAGCTCCGGACCTCCTCCGAGCCGAAGCTCAGAGCCGGGAGCCCTTCCCGGGCCTCGGCTACCGAGCGCACTCACCGTCGCTGATGCAGAGTGCGGCCAACACGAGGGCCAGCACGGCGACAACCTTGGCGTCCATGGCGCGGACGGGCGAACTGGCGGGCGCACGGGTGGCAGCGGATCGGCAGGGGCCAGAAGCCGGGCGGGCGCGGCTGCGGACCGAGAGTGAAAGTGCGGCGGCGGCGGGAGGCGCTCGCTGGGCGCTTTAGAGGCGAAAACCAGGCGGGGCGGGGCGGGGCGCTAGGCAAGGGGCGGACCCGAGGGTGGCGGGGGGTCTCTGACGCGCGGCCGCCCCCCTCTAGCCCCTCCTCCGCTCCCCTGATGCTCCCCTGAAGCCCCAACACTCTGGCCTTTCATCTCAAGTCCTGCTGGGTCCCGCTCCGTGGACCAAGCCTGCAAAAAGGCTCCCAACAAATCAGTGAGGCTGATTGCTTATTGTTCCCATTATGCAGATGGAGAGACTGAGGGAGAGTGGGGGACGCGGGGAAAGCTGCGAGACGTAGCTTCTCTGTGATGGGGACTGAATGAACCCAACGAACGCTTTCCGAGGCAGCCAAGAGCGTCCTGTCTTGGGTGCTCGGGACCTCAAGCTGACCGACCACCGTCCTGATCCCCGGCTCCCGGCTCAGCTAGCTGTTGGGAGAGCATGGCCTAGTGGAATGCCACCGGTCTATGCCGTCAGAGAGACTCAGATCAGTAGGGTCCTTCGGAAGTACGGCTGGGTGACTGCGGAAAGGACCCAGCGGGTAGCCTCGGTATGCTGTAATTTCCTGAGTCCTCTTCGCCTTCGCCCCTCGGTTCTCACCACCGAGGAAGAGGCTTATCACAGTTCCATCCCCCACAGAACAGGACGGGGTTGCACCACAGCTCCCTCCCCCTGTAAAAGCCTCCACGCGTGTCTGACACACAGTACTTAGTGGAAATTGGAAAGAACTGTGAACTTCAGTATTTCCTGCCTCTCCCCAATGAAAGCCCAGCGCGACCCACATGGATGGGAGAACCCCGCATCCTCCTACCTCCTACCTGGACTGTGCTCCTAACGGTGGCCATTAGGGTCCAGAGAACTACACACTGCGAGGCCACTGCGCCCCTAGCTGGATACCCAGCCAAGCGGCGAAGGGTGCAGCGGCTCCCTTTGTGACCACAAGCGGCTCTGGCTCCGGCCACCTCTTCAGTCTCTTTCCCGCACAGCCAATCTATGGAGTGGGTTCCATGCCCACGTCCATCTGAGGGGCACTCAATGAGGACAGGCTTTGTCCCCAGGGAGTCCTGGAGTACTGTGTGGGAGTGGGCCCAGCTGCTCCATCTGGGGACAGGGATGGGGACGGGGGTGGGCAGTTGTGAGCAGGTGGCGGCCAGGACTCTGGACGGTAGGAATGAGTGCCTTTTGTGTGCTCCCTTCTCACCTAGCCATTTTGGCCCAAGTTGGGTGGTCTGTGGACCTGCACCCGTGCGTGCATTCATTCATTGTGGGCCCTGGGCTTCGAACCTAGAACTCCTCTAACTCGGTTCCAGCCCCTGAAAGCTAACAATCCAGCGAAGAGGGCAGTCCTCGGACACCCCCGGCCTTCAACTTGTCCTGGAGCCCTCGGGCCAGTCGTCTTTAAACCCCGGAGTCCTGTGACTGACCGCTCGCAACGGCTGGGCTCCGGCGCCCTCTGGTGGCCGCGCCTTCCCCTCCCCAGCTCCCGGGAACCCAGTGTCCTCAGACTTAGGCCGGCCGCTGATGCCTGTACCCCTACATAAAATTCCGGGGCTTCTTCGGTAAATACACCGCTGGGCGCAGTGGGACGCTCGGAGCCCCATGCATCCTCAAAAGCAAGCGGTAAATTTGGCCAAAGTAGAGACCAAAGCCTCTTGTGACCTCGTTTTTGCCATGAAATCAGGTGAGTAGGACCCAACCTCACTACCAGAGGGCTCTGGGAAGGTCCATGTTGGGCTGAGGCTGAGGCCTAGGAGAGCCCAGTCCTTAGGCCTAACTGACATGTTCCCTCCCCCCCGCCCACCACACACAGACGCACTCCACCACAGAAGGTAGTATGGGGCCCATCAGCGCCCACCCCTCCGTCATTAGTTCATTGAAATAACTTATTAAGCACCCACTATGTGCTCCACACGGAGTAAGGGTTTGAAATAAATAAAGAACACAATAATACCCTCTCTCCTGGAGTTTACTTTTTGGGTCGGGTGGGGGATGGGAGGAGAGGCAAGGGTCACTAAAGTTAAGTAATCAAACTGGGAAGTGAAACAGGAAAAAGAGGTATCAGAATTTTAGACATGCCAAGGATGTGTTTTAGACAAAATCTCCACAGTTGAATAGTTGGCAAATGATTTAAATTTAAAGCCCTGTACCTTTTGGGGAGTCCACAAAGTGCAGCCAGTTCAGGCCCTCTGCCTTTCTGACTCGCCCTATGCTCAGCCACAGAGTCACTTTAAACATGGGGCAGCAGAGCCCACCACCAGTTTCCGCTTGCTCATACCTGCATCTCTGCATAATTCCACCTGGATTTCTCTGCAGGAAATTCTATTTCTTTCTCTTCTCTCTCTCTCTCTCTCTCTCTCTCTCTCTCTCTCTCTCCCTCTCCCTCTCTCTCTCTGTGTTACTGGGATTTGAACTCAGATTGTTGAGCTTCCTAGGGAGGCGCTCTACCACTTAAGCCACACCCCACAAACCCTTTTTTGCTTTACTTGTTTTTTAGGTCGTGTCTCCCACATAGCAAGGATCTCAGTCTTGTGCTACACCATACCAGCTTGTTCATTGAGATGGGGTCTCACTAACTTTTTGCCCCACAGGCTTTGAACCACTATTCTCCCCCCCCCCTCCATTTTCATCTTGAGTAACTAGGATTACAAGGTGTGAGACATCACACCTAGTCAGGAAATTTTATTTCTCACCAAGTTCCAAAGCAAGCAACCCATCTTCTCTGTGAAGTCTGCAGTTCTCTCTTCTACAGCACAGGGAGGGTCTGACCTGCTGCTCTTCTAGTGTGTTGGTTATGCATTTGAAGCTGGGAGACGAGTCTGGCTGCTGAGTTACAGGGCAGTGGGTCTCCATGGCCCAGCTCTGTCCTTTCTTCCCGGCCCAGGCACCTGACTGTTCTGTTTCTCTCTCCCCAGCAGGAGCAGTTCACTTCTCCAAGGTTCAGTGGCTGGGTCTACCAGGCAGAACTTCAGCACAGAGTTAAAGATCTGCTCTAAATCTGTGTGTAGCTGACAAGGTACTTCAGTTGGTACTCCTTCTGAAAACATTATTTTTTTAAATATAGATTTACGTATTTAGTTTTCAAAGTAACTAGAAAGCATATGACTAGTACATTGTAGCCAGACATTTCAAGTATTGCTCAGGATTTTTTTTTTTTCAATGTATTATTCAAGCTTTAAAAAGTGAGTCAATTTACACTAACATACCATGTAATAGTCTAGGTGGTTAGGGACATGCAAAAAATCTTGACAATGAAACAATAAAAAAAACCCTGAAATTTGAAAATTCCATCTAAATAAATAAAGTTTTCTGCAATATTGGATATAATCTCACTATAATCACCCCACCTTTTAAAATAAACTGTGTGGTCTCAAAGTGATAAAATACAATTTAAAAAGGAAGTATGGCATCTTCCTTACTCACCTAACAGGTGAGGCTAGAGAATGCTGGTCCAAGAGTGCTGATCCTAGGAAGAGGGTGGGGACACTCAGGATCCCTTTTCTGGCTCCTATGTAGGCACAAAGAGGCCCTGTCTTCCTTTCTACCCACCTCTGCTCACATACCTCTGCCACCTTACACTGGGTTCAGATACAGGTATCCTTCTCTGAGAACCAGGAAGCCCAAGGAGGAAGACAATTGCTCAGAGCCTTTCTGCTATTGCCTTTGAGCAGCGGGCGCATCAGCCATTGTGGTAGGTGCTGATTTAGTAAGTGTCAAACCACTTGGCTCAGAGAAGCCTTTAGAAGATACCTAACAATTGTATTTACTTAGGACTTCACAGTTCTCTCTGGATTAGTCATATTTAGTTCTTATAAAGACCAGCTCTGCAGAATAAGCGTTTCTATGTCAGCTTTGAAGATAAGGAAAGAGTGATTGAGAGCCTGGGCCAGCATGGCAGAGCCAGCTTGGGGCAAAGGCACTGTTCTCTGGGAGAGCATCCAGGATTCAGTGGAAGTGTGGTTGGGGATATATGTCACTTTTGTGGCAGTCATCCAGGGGGCTCTTAGAGTCTTGTACCCAAGGCTGGGGCTCAGCATCTGTCAGGCTGGCCATATTTTCTTTGACTGGATCCCTAATGGGACTGGTGGGAAGGACTCATAGCACTTCTGAGGTATCCATTCCAACCATCCACCACCTATCTAGCCATCAATCCATTCATCTACCTGAGGGAGGATAGACAGAAGAGGAGACAGGGAAATTATATTGGTTTTAATAAATATTAAAAGGGCCAGACTCAGACATTGGAACAAGGAAGTAAAGGCTGGAGGGCCAGAGCAGCGAGCCCCTCCCACCTTCTTTTAGATGTTAAGTTACAGGAACAGGGAGACATAAAGGGGCTGTCTGAATCTGCATCCCCTTTGAAATGTTAAGAAGCTGCAAGGCACTTTGAATAGGTAGAGTAACTGAAAAATGAGAGGCATGTCTAGCAAGGGGAAGACCTAAGCTGTATTTTGGGTAGTCCTAGATGTCATCTCCATGTCTTAAAATAATAAACAGCATCCTTCTTAGCCACACACACCATTGTCTAGTGATTAGGGGTGGCTGGATGACATGGCTACTGTCTTCCCGTAGCTCAGAAGATATAAAGACTACAGATAAGAACCACCATTTTGAGTCTTTTACTCCCATTTCCTATTTGGAAAGCAGGAAATGTTTTTTCCCTTTCCTCACTATTTCTCTCTACTTTGTCCTGCTATGCTAAAATAAATCCTTGCTAAAACTTTCATCTTGTAAGACTCCTTATCGTGAAACACCTTGAAATTTTTTCATGTTTGTGGATCTCAAGTACCTGTGATTTTGCATTGGAAACTGGGAATCTGAGGGAACCCCCCTCCTCTGGTAACATTCCTATCCATCTGTCAATTCACCCAACTGTTACCTACCCATCCCTCCCTCCATCCATCTATCTACCACCATCCATCTGTCCATTCATCCACCCATCCATCTATTTTGCCATCAGCATACCATCATCAACCACTCCACACC